CTCCAAGCCTTCCTTTAAGCCTTCCCCTCATCTTCATTGAGGTCAAACACTTCATTGGGGGTATAACTCCAACCATTTATGCCTTTTCACATACATTTACACAAAACTCCATCAAAGCTGAGTTTAAACACATTTCTTCTCAATTTCATGACAAAAGCAAGTATAAAAGGGTTGATTAGCATACAATATATGTCATGTTTTTGTGCTAATCAGCCCACACTGTGCATTGCATATAATATGTGAGCCATATACTATAGAGGTCACGAGTCAGCTACCAGATTATTGCCTTATTGGGCAAGATATTTGGCACACGCGCCCCATTGATTTGTTTTGATGTCGTCGAGTGACAATTTTCAGATCGTGTTACTCAATAGTTCGGTCTTGTGCAGCGCATACCACAGTCATGTGATACTAGTAGGGCCCTGCATGCCGTCAACCGGCATGGGAGATCGGGTCGAGATTGAACTGTGATTCATCAGGTGTACATAGACTTATGGGCCCATCGTCAAGATACACTTGTTACAGGAGACCTAACTATTGCACCGATGGATCCTACTGACCGCTACATGTTATGGTATCGTCGCATCACTCGTCGACTTGTTCGTCCCCCCATTGCTAGGCCCACTATGGAATTGTTTACTATAATTAATATTTAATGTAACTTTTTTGTAGGAAGAGACTGTTACACAGATATATCACACTTCACGTTCTACATATGACAGCAGCCCAGATTTGTCACTTTGCATGGACACTCTTGGGCGTATCACAAATCTGAGCTCCTCGTATTTGACATCCATCCGTGAACAGCAACGACTTGTCAACGCTCCAATCTCGATAGCTGATGTTTTGTCTACTTCTGCGTAGCCACCGCCTTCTGATGTTTATACTACTCCTATTTCTTCACCATCATCGGCCACATTTGTACGACCACCACCACTGTCACCAACACAGGCGCCAACATTGACTCCGACACCTGTTGTGCCCACACCGGCACTGACACCATCACCGACATTAACACCATCAGTGACACTGACACCTACACCAGTAGTGACACGAACACCAACACCGACTTCGACATCCACACTGACACCAGCAGTGTCACGGACACTAGCATCGACACCATCAACACTTATCTTAGGAGTACTGACGCTGACACTTACAATGACACATTCTCCTATATTGACACCCATGTCGTGTCATGCAGCAGTGGGGTCATCGCTCACAGTCCATCCTACCCATCCTCTTGAACATCCTTTATCACATCCTATGTTACCTGAGGAGGGATTGACGCAAGATGCTACACTTATAGGTATACTTCATGGGAAAGCGGGTCGTGATTTTGAGGCAAATGACACAGTTGGGCACGAGCCCACGGGCAAGGTCGTGCACATCATGTACATCATTGCGATGATGTTGGTGTGTCACAATTGACAAAGGCTAGACTACGAGATACTAAGCATGAGGTTTAGAAACAATCGAAGCGACGTAGGCGACCACCTCCATGTGGCACATGATTTTGATGTATTTTTTCTTTTGTAGGAACTATACAAAGTTTTTCTTTTGTAAATGCTAGACTATAATTATTTTTATGCATTTCAATTGTAGTCTTTAATGAAGTTGTGACATGCACAATCAATATTGTACACAACACATTTAACCCAACTTTAATGTAACACTTCACATTTAAATCTCAACACATCATTAACAGTATCTAGAGACAACAAACCTAGCATAATACTTCTCGACACAAACAATAACGTAACACTTGTCCACACAATTGTAACATAACACACTTGTCTATACAACTCTGACATAATACTTCTCCATACAACACTGGCATAAAACTTCTCCATGCAACACTAACATATCAATTCTCCACACAACACTAATATAACACTTCTCCACACAACATGTTTCATGGATCACCATCTTCGTCAGACATCTCAACATCAGAAATACATCCAACATCTCCACTTAACAGGAAACTTATACGTGATTCTTCCATTAACCCTTCTTCAGCACGGTCTCGTGCAATGCGACGAAAGTTGTAACAATTTAAATAGATTATTATGCGATTGTTCTCAACTTTAAAAAAATACAATGCTCGTTCCAATTGTTGAGGTGTCTCAACTGTCATATGGATGACAATTTGTCAAGGCCTTCGTAAATTACAAGTTTGCATATCTCCACTAAGATTTTCTCGCTCCGTCAAACAATATTGCAATTCGGCCCTCATGGTTCTTATGGCCCTACTTGAATAACGTAAATGAAGATTCATTGGATAGAAGAACTTATCATCTAAGGCCGAATGATAACCCATATTTTCGTATAACGCTCTCACACTATAATTTATGGTTGGAAATGAGTTTTCTTCAATGAGTTGTTTACACATGATGAATAAATAGTCTTGAAAGATCAAGGTTTCAATGGACATATCAATTCACTAAGAAAGGACTATCATGACTTGACAATACAATGATTGTTTTCCTATTACACATAAATTGACAAACCATTGAATCAATGAATTTCCTAATGAAATAAAAAACCCTGCAATTGTTGATCAACCAATTGTCGTAATGAATACACATAGCTGCCAACAAGGTGTGAGTGTGAACTACTGAGCATATCAAAATAAACAATGTGCTGACATGACAACTAACTGGCCTTTGATAAGGCTGAAGAAGAAAAAGTGACTGTTAGTGACTATTTAATCTCTTGTGTTGAAGTGACTAAACTTTGAATGGGTTTTAGCAGACAATGTGCTGAAGTAACAAAACACAGGTGCTAAGGCCAAAGAGTGAAATATAGTGAAATGGCCTTACACGAGTCTGACGCATGACTAAACAGTAAATGACCTCATATGACTACACTGTTTTACTATTGAATGATGTGATCTGTTCAGCACACTAGGGTTTAGACACTACTATTTAAACACTTTATTTGTGGTTGATATGATAAACACTAAAAATTATGGCTATATCGAATTTCTCTACGAGATTTAACAATCACAGACGTGAACAGATTTGGTTGTTACAAGAGTGAAATGATGATTACAAGATTGAGAGATTTTCTAATTCAAAAGAATATTATGCAGGAGTACGATGAGAGTGGACTTTTCGTGCTAAAGAATCGGACAAAATATTCACCAAACTAAAAGAACTTGGCATACCAGTGTCTCGTAAACGATCACTAACAATGCAATGCTAGAATAGAGAGGACTAGAAATTAACAGTAAAACATGTTCGAAAAGAAAACAATAGAATGCTGGTGTGTAGGTACCGCTATTATATGCTCTAACAAGTAAAAGATATGGTGAGAACTGCATATGAACGAGTTGAAACCAGCTGAGCAAAATAATATATTGTCTAATACACAATATTTGTCAAATAATTATATGTCTGATGAAGTTCAACAAAATGTACTAAGTGCGCAATTGTTTTTTTGAATGTCATATCTTGAATAGTGGTAATCGACATAGCTTTATCAAGGTAATCAATGTAGTGTCAAGTCATTTCAATCATTTGTTATTGAATTGTTATATCATTACTTTATTATTGTGAAGTCATATCATTACTTTATCAATGTAGTGTCAAATCATGTCAGTCATTTGTCATTAAATTTTTATATCATTATTTTATCACTATGAAGTCATATCATTACTTTATTAGTGTCAAATCATGTTAGTCATACTTAGTACGTGTCTTGTCAAATTTGTATATATTTGTATTTCGTATCTATATAAACTATTATTCTTAATTGTATATATTATAACCAAAAAATGTCTAAGCGCACATCAAATAGGCAATCCAATCACACCACTTAAGGTTCTTCATCACGCAATGAACAACAAAGTTCATCTTCAGTTAACGATCATCAATGCTCAACTGGCCGAGCACCATCGTCGAACGTAGTTCGTTCAGTTGAATTCTACTCAAATTCCATCGGTGTAACTTGGTATGGACAAAAGCGTGAATTTTGTAATGAGCCCATCGATCCTTATCACTCATTCAGTCAAACTAAACACATTTGTTAACCGCGACCGACTATCCACGTCCGAGTGTTTATATCGAGCCCATACCAAGATGATGATAGTTATATGACAAGCATTGTGAGCTTGCAGTATGTTGTCGTTGACATTGATTAATGGTACTGAAAACACGTTCAATTGATATATATGATCCACAAAACTCTAACAACCATGACGAGATCATAACAAGGTTTAAACTTGACAATGATTAGATGCAACGATGACTTGATCGTTTTTATGCAATCGAGCATGCAAAAATTGAGCATTTCAATCTTTTGAGATTCAAATTTTAAAGGATCTATTACTTGTTTCTGATTTTGAACTTTCTGATTATTCCGATCAACTATAATATTGGCACACTTTATTTCTTATAGTCTCATGTAATAACGTTGTTTTGTTTAATGTATAAGTATATTTTATCATATTTGGATGTTTTGTACAATTTTGTAGGTCATATATCATTGTTCGATGAACTTATAACATAAAATTAGAATAAACAATTTTTAACATATACATATTTTTCAAAAATTGTTACAACATTCATGTACACACAAACAATATTTTAAGCATTTTTTTTATAATGTAATGCAATTAATTAACTTTTTTAATTCATATCTTCATTTTTTAATTGCTTTCATAGTTTATAAATTTACGTGCAAAACATGGTTTAATAATTTATTTTTTAATTAAAAAGAAAAAAATGAAACAAATTTAATATCATCAAAAAACTTAACAAACACAACAGTTGCATTATTGAAAAAAACTGAGTTTTAAATTCCTTTTAAAAAAACGTCATCCCAAATGATATTTTTTAAAAAAGAATTTAATGACTGTTAGTATAGCCGTTTCAAAATACTTTTTTTTAATGTCACTTTCACTAACAACTTTAACGACGTCATTTATAATGACAATTTAAATAATAATTTTACAATTTAAAAACATCAATTGAAATGACATTTTAAACTATAAAGATGTCATTCGGAGTTACGTTTTTAAAAAAAGACTGAGTTTAGAAAATAAGTTTAAAACTGACTGGGTTTGAAAATAAAGATATTGGGGAGACTGACTTTAGTCAAAAGCTCTGTCTTGATGTTTTTCAGGGTTTTATAACAAACAATACTCCCAAGGGGACTGTATTCGCTCAAAAAGGCCTCACCGATTCAGCTAAGTGCACTTCTTCAGCCTGCTGGAAGATAACAATCAATTACCTTTGTCCTAAATGCTGAACATGAAAGCACAACCCTGTTCATACGAACAATGCATTTTAGACCATATTAGTAGCAGCTCTGCACTCGGGTCATCACTTCCTCAGCAGCTTATCTTTCATCCTCTCAACTGCACTCCTGAGAGTCCCCTCATCTTTGCAGAAGGTGAACCGCACAAGATTCTTTCCATCTTCTGGATTCAAATAAAACACACTAGTTGGAATTGCTACAACTCCAACTTCCTTGATCAGATACTCGCAGAAGGCAACATCACTTTCTAGTCCAAAAGGCGTGTGATCTACCACCACAAAGTAAGTTCCACTTGATGGGAATACTGTGAAACCCACAGCCTTCAATCCCTCCACCAGAATTGTCTTCTTTGCCATGTAATCTCTCTTCAGCTCCTCATAATACGAGTCTGGGGTTTGAAGGGCAGTTGCAGCTGCATACTGCATTGGAGTGGATGTAGCAAATGTGAGGAATGAGTGTGCTTGCCTCACTCCCCAGGTCAAATGTGGGGGAGCTATTGCCCACCCAATTTTCCAGCCCGTTAGAGAGAATGTCTTCCCCAGAGAATTCATGGTAACTGTCCGCTCATACATCCCAGGAAGAGAAGCCATAGAAATGTGATCCATTTCAAAAGCTAACTTGTCATAAACTTCATCAGTGAAAACTAACACATCATTCTCAATGCAGAGAGATGCAATCACATTGAGTTCGTCTCGAGTAAACATCTTCCCTGTGGGATTATGTGGAGTGTTTATGAGAATTGCACGAGTATTCTTTGAGATCGTAGACTTGAGCTCCGCAATGGGGACAGAAAAATCTGGAGGCCGTAACTTGACACACTTTATTTTGGCACCAGCCATGGAAAGGGTAGCTTCATAAGAATCATAGAAAGGAGCAAAGAGGATCACCTCATCACCAGGATTAATCAAACCCAATATGGTTGCGGCAATTGCTTCAGTGCATCCTGAGGTAACAGTAACTTCCTTCTCAGGGTCAACCACAAGTCCAGTATCTATCTTGAACCGGGCGGTCACGGCTGCGTTGAGGTCAGGAACTCCATATCCACGAGCATATTGATTCTTCCCATCTTTAATGGCTTGAATGGCTGCTTCTTTAACAAACTCGGGGCCATCAAAATTGGGGAAGCCTTGGCCGAGATTAATTGCTCCGTGCTTGATAGCAAGCATACTCATTTGTGTGAAAATTGTAGTTTTAAACCTCTCCAAGCGCTTTGCAACCTGAAAAAGAAAACTCACAATGTGAAAGACTACTGGGGCAATAGAAAAAGCGTACACATAAGACATAACACTCCATCCTGCATGCTTGTATTAACTGAACCTGGCCGAGATATGTCCTTTCACTGACATTAACACCAATCAGCTATTATTTATAACAACGAACCCACAAATCAATAAATTTATAGTCTTGATTAGTCAATTTGTAATTTTTAGGACCACAGAAATAGATTAAACATAATGAACTTTCATACAACAAAAACAAGTACTGTTGTCCAAAAGGGAAAATTGTAGAATGAAGAAAAATGTTAGCAGCCCCAGAAAAAGTTTATTGGACTGAAATTTAAGTTGGTTAAAAGTTTAAAAAGAAATACTGAGTGGTAAACCTGGCGATGAGGAATCACCCGAATGTACCAGGCAAATTGATTCCAGAAGACTAGCTGTAGCATATCAAGTTCAGTAAGTTCATACAAAATATGACATATTGAGATGGACATCAAATTGTATCTGCCGCTTCATATCATTAAGAATGCAATTTGATTTTGGTTTGGTTTGCAGGTAGAAGGTTTAAAAAACACAGGCTGGCTTGTTTTGCCCCAAACTGATACATCAGACCAATTTGACGTACCAAGCTCAGCAAAGTGGAGCCTCAAGTCAGTTGCACGAGTCATAAGAAACAATTAGGATTATGGAGAAAAGCCAACCTAAAAATGAGATGATAAAAAGCAAAAGTAAATGGTCAACCAAGATTGAAACATCGCTTTAAACATAATTTGTTTTATTCTTCTACCCAAAACTCTAGTTTTTCTTAATCCTTTGCTCCAACATATCCATTTAATCCTCTTGATTTTGGCCTATTTTGGGAAAAGCAACTGGTGATTGGCTTCTTTATGCCAATCTGTTCAACATGAAGACAGAGAAGGGGGCGGGGGAGGGGAAGAATTAGTGACCACATTCCTAATGTAAACATGAAGTATAGGTACTTTATAGAGATAATCCACTGATTCCAAAATAATTCTTCAACAAACAAACTATAGAAGAGTTTTGTTCACATATGACCCCATCTGTTTTTTTTATTCTACTCATCAGCCGTTCCTGGTATGCTTCACCTTTAGAGAACATTCTGGCACGGACCCCCCATGACGTTTAAGACCATTCTAGTGAGACCCCCTGAGGTACTGGTTAAGTTTTGTGTATCATAAACCACCCTTGTTCTGAGACACAAAATCTATAATAAGGAGGTCAGTGATATTATTAGAACTTCAGGGGGTCTCCCTGGAATTGATATAAACCTTACGGGAGGTCAATGATATTTGGGAAAACATTTTTATGCTCCCAAGGAATGCATCAAAGAATCACATGCAGAACCTAATCTGACAGGACTTGATGGTGTTACAAAGTGCTCGGAGTGATGGAGAGCTTCTCTTGTAGATTCTTTGTTAGGTTATATAGTTTTCTCACAAGCTCTATGGTGAAACATTTGTCCCCCTACTTGGAGCAGGTTGGTAGCTGTAATGTTAGGTTTGACTTGTGTCAAACCCCATGCGGATCAGGTCGTGGAGGGAATTCCTCGGACTGCCAAGGAACAAGATTATATGTTCAAGACAGAATTTGCTGGGTTGCGATTCATGAGTTTTGCACCGAACCTAATGAAACCTTTTCCTTTGACAGGGCAAGTCATTTCCTAGACGCTTCGTAAAACCATTGTCAACTTCAGTTTCTTATCTCCTAACTCGCATGTTAGCAACCTTGAAAGAAGAGTGACAACGGCCAGACTTTTTTGAAACGCATCTGTATGCCTCCACACTGATCTCAAGTGTTTCAAAAAGAAATTCACTAAGCAAACATGAAGGTACCTTAACAATTCAATCATATCATTTGCTTCAGCAGACCACCTTAGGCCAGCTTGGATTTAAATTACAAAAGTTTCCATTATCACAAACTTACCAACTTTTTGGCTGAGGAAGATAGGAAAAAGGTGGTAAGAGGAACAGATGAGTAAACCCAATTACGGTAAATTTTATACAACCCCCCTGCAGTTGCATGGATATCCATTCACATTTCAAAAATAACATCAAAACCCCTTCAAATATGCAAGTTGCAACACTCAGCTTCCTCTGCCTGACACGTTAGTAAGACTAACAGTGAAAAACAACATCAACAAAAAGCTCAAATATTTTCCAAAATAACGCATGTACTAAGACTAATACTTATAAGATAGTATTACTGACAAAACAATCCTGAAGTCTCTCAAAATAGAAAATTTTAGTAAATAAACAACCCCAAAAATATAATAGGTGGGCAAATATTTTATTTTAATACTCAAGTTGAGCTTGAATAAAACAATCTCAATCTGACTTAAATACGAACAATATTCAGGTAAGAGTATCGGGTTTTTGTGAACCAATACAAACCCATACATATCATTTACGGCTTACATGACACTTAGTTTAGCTTCTCTCTCCCTTGTCATTCTTTCTTTGACTTCTCGAAAAACTTGTCTTCTATTCGAATTTATCTCATTTGTTTCTCCTCTTTCTCTTCAATCTCTCAGATTTTCACTATGTTCTCCATCATCATCCTAACAATCACAGCTACAGATGGATGATTTAGGGAAGCCGAGAAAAAAAAAAAAAAAAGAAGATGACCCTTCATCCAAAGTTGTTCAGCATCAAGTTATTTAATAGTGGGTTCTTGTTCATGTTTTATGCTTGTAATGTCTAATAATTATACACACTCAAAAAAGAGTATTGAGTTCTTCAATGTTTGTAGCTGATGCTATGAAGCATAATTTAGCAATTTTGGAATAATTTTATCCAATATTAGTGCGCTTAATTACTTAAAGATAGACGTTCTAGCTAGAGGGAGATTAGAGATGGTCGATTGTTGTGGGATCATCTTGACCTGCAAACATGGCTCAAAATATCAACTGGTACCAATACGACTTGATAGTAAAAGGATACCTTTCATTTTGAGATCACTACACAATCCGTGTAAATCACGAGTCTCACTTGAGTCGTAATTGACTTGGATGTTTCAAACAACTTGTCTGAGTCATTATTTTCTAATAGCAGAGTTTCACCTGATGCCAATATTTAATTTCTTCTATCTAATATTCCATGCATGTTGTCTAATACTGTTTCGAGACACATAGACCGATGTGGTCCCAATGCCAATTGATGGCTGATAACACGATCTTGAACCATGCCAGTACGTGGTTAAGTGATTGTGTCTCCTACCTGCCCCCCAATTTGTACTGGTGTCATATGGAAAAATTGTACACAGTGTCCTCTAAGTCAACAAAAAAAAAGCTCAAACCTTTTTTGTTTCTTTGAACCATTCCTTGAAACAGTGCTTTCTATAGGTACCTATAAACTTGATTCAAAAAATTAGATATGTTTTTTCTAATCATGCAATTCAAGTTAAAGTTTTAAACATCAATGTTTTCAGTTTCAATGCTGAACTTAAATTCAATCAGAAGAGAATCTGAATTCCAACAAAAGAATTGAACAAATAATGATATCGGAGTTCAACAAAGTTTAGAAATTTATACATGTGAAATGTTGATGTTGAAGGTATCAGATTGAGGACTTTATACTTCGGTTGGGCATGTGTGGATCACTCACCTAACCAATATGGTCAAATTGCACCAATGATAACACTATCCCCCCACCAAATCAACACAAATTGTGGGTATACGTTGGAATGCACAAAAAAATAGAGTCAATGATTGGTACCACAATCTTTAACCATAAAGGGAGCATAGAGTTTTGTAGTATATCTGTGAGTATATGCATCAAAGGTTACCAGGTAGCTGTAACGCACGAATACTACATCAATGTCAACTTATTTGTATTGGACTCTTTGAATACTTGAGCATGTGTATTATATATGCATCATACGTATCCAATAAATAAAATATGTGGATCCTTTGCGGATAATTCCATATGGAGAGCAATATGTATAATTGTTAATTGTGATCTTTAACTAATACACCATTCTTTTGAATTTACAAGCAATGCAATACATCAGTAAAAATTGATATAACTTTAAAGATACGAGTGTTTTTAAGTATTATATATTATTACATGTCAAAAGAGTATAAACGAGTTAATTACACTATAATGAAACAATATATACCTTCTTAAAGTAAAAAGTGCAAATTTTGCTTATGATTGTTAAAGAATTACTAATAATTATAAGTGAAAATTGGTCAAAAGTCCATCCACAAGCTATTTTAAGTCATTAAATCCAAGCAAGGTACTTTTAAGGTGATAAAGACAAATCAAGTGCTCTTTTTTGTACTCTAGTCAATTCTAATTAAATGTTCTCATCTGTCACTTTCTCTCATATTTATTTTTTTTTTCATATTCTCTCCTCTCTTTTCTATTACTTCATGTGTATCGTCTGTTTCTGTCTCCTTCTCATATCTCTTTTATTAATCTCTCTCTCTCTCTCTCTCTTATGTAGTAAGTAAATCAAAATCATCTTATACTCTCTTCTCCATAAAATTAAAAAAGTTCAATAAAATAATTCTCTCTCTCCTGATTATATCTAGGGCCATGAAAGTAGAAACCTACTTAAATCTTGATTGAGTTGAACGCTTCGCATCTACACCTCAATAGTGAAAAATACTTGGATCTTGATCCAAGTCTTCGTGATGATAATCAAGTTGAATCATAAATCATGATAATCAAGTGGGTGGGTTGGACACGTCACTAAAGAAGAGGAGTTTTGATGGACTTGACTGAGTATTTTGACGTAGTTTGACGAGTATATATGCTCATTCTTCTAGCATGTTGGTTAAAAATTAAACACTGAAATACTAATTTTACTATTTAAATGGCTAAGTTGTAAAAATTAAACAGTGAGATACCCTAAATACAAGAGGTTTGTCCTATTTATAGGTCTGAAATTAGAGTAGTCTCAAGATTCAAGAGAATCTAAATTCATGAAAGACCGCTTGAGCCATCAAATAGTGGTCGAAGGCAATTGTCACTGGAATGAGAAAATGATTCAATTCAGTCGAGTTGAGTAAGTACCGCTCGAGTCGTCTGCAGACCATTCAAGCAACCTCAGTGGAGCTAGAGGCGGTCTCTACTATCAACTTCACAACCTTCTCCAATTTTTTTCTAAGTGTTTCCAAAACCGCTCTAGCTGAAAGAGAGCAAGCAAAGAGCAATTCCTACTGCTTTCAAGCTAGAACATTGTTATCAAAATCGTACGATTCGATTCGATTTAGTCCCTATTCGATTCATATCTTACCATAGAATCGTTTTTTGCCAACAATCGCGCCTGAATCACAAGAATCATACAATTTGATTCAAATCGAATGAATCATACAATTCATTTTATTATTTTTTTAAACCCTATTTTTGGTAAAATAGCGTCGTTTTGCTAGAAGGGGCCCACTCCCAAATATAAAACTCGCGTCTCTCTCTATATCATCTTCGTGTCTTTGCCTCTCAAGCACTGTTCAAGTGTCTGTGAACATCACATAGAGACGACGTCTCTTTTACTCCAGGTATGTGTTTCTTCTTCTTTTTCTTCTTCTTCTTCTTCTTATTCAAAAACAACTATCAACCCCTAACATACCCTACTTCTTCTTCTTCATTAAATGCTCTTTTTGTTTTTCATCAAAAATTTATTTTTAATCGAATGTGAAAAATAA